CGTATTGCTATCCATATACGCATACACTTTAATTTTTTCATCTACAGAATGCTTCCATCTCATAAAACCGAGTTCCTCCACCGTTGCGAGCCGGAGCAAAACTGTTTAGAAACACATGAGGTTTATAATTTATTCTTCAGGGGGAGATATTTTACAGAATGGTATTTGAGAGCTTTCTCTAGGCGCATTCCATAAACATTTTTTTCTCTTTTCCCTTCCCTGCTTATTTTTTAAAGCCAAAAGGAGGGATGGTTCATCCATTTTTCAAAAGCCAAACTGCATCCTGCCGAATGAAGCAGCAGAAAGTAAGCAAAAACATGAAACGAATCTCTTGGAGATGATGGAAGATCTTGGGGGATGGGAGGGGGAGGTCTAGCCAACCGTGCTCCAGACATAGCAGGACACTAATGCCGGATTGATACACTGGCCGGGCGGGCCGGAAATCTGGTCAGTAACGGATCACTGGGCGGCCAGATGGGTGCTTGCCGGAGATCCGGCAGCGTTGTCGGACTTCTGTGACAAATATGGAAGACAGGACGGATGTATGTCTATATATATATGTATCCTCCAAAGTTTACCAGCACCATGACCATTACAAGACTCGTGTAATGCCTTGTAATCATTAACGTCAACGGTTTTATGATGGATCTTCCAGTACTGGTACAAGAAAAAAAAATTGCAGCACTCATAAATGCTAGGAAAAGATCTTTAAGAGATGAAGAATATTTTCGTTAACATAAAATATTCTGCATGTACCTATAAATATGAAAGTAATACATAATCAATAAAAGTTTAGGGATCTCCCTAATAATGAAAAACATTGAATTAATTGGTATAGATTAAAATTGTTCAAATAATGATTTTTCAATACGTGGTGAATCAATTAATAAGACTTTTAGTATCTTCCATTTTTATGTACCAATAAACATAAAAGTATTACATATTGAAAAGTATAGTGAATCTCCCTAATAATAAAAAAACATTTAATTAATTGGTATAGATTAAAATAGTTAAATAATGATTTTTGAAATACCTGATGAATTATAAATTTCATTAAACTTAATGAAAAAGATTACAACCAGTAATGAAAAAGACTTTTAGTGTCTTCTATTTTTATGTACCAATAAACATAAAAGTAATAAATACATACTGAATAAAGTATTGTGAATATCACTAATAATGAAAAAAGTATTGAATTATTTGGCAAATATTAAAATTGTTCAAATAAAAGATTTTTGCAATACGTGGTGAATTAATTAATAAAACTTTTAGTGTCTTCCATTTTTATGTACCAATAAACATAAAAGTAATACATATTTAATAAAGTTTAGGAATCTCCTTTAATAATGAAAAACATTGAATTATTTGGTATAGATTAAAAAATAGTTTCAATAATGATTTTTGCAATATGTGGTGAACTAGAAATTACATTAAACTTAATGATGAAAACTAAAACAATTAATGAAAAAGACTTTTAGTGTCTTCCATTTTTATATACCAATAAGCATAAATGTATTACATATCGAATAAGGTATAATAAATCGGAATAATAATGAAAAAAATATTTAATTAATTGGTATAGATTAAAATTCTTCAAATAATGATTTTTGCAATGCGTGGTGAATTAGAAATTTCATTAAACTTAATGAAAAAGACTAAAATCATTAATGGAAAAGGCTTTTAGTGTTAAAAATATTTTATATTGTCATATAAGCAAAAAATAAAATGTAATGACAAGTAAAAACATTTTTTATTACTATATATAATTTTAATGATTCTAATCCATAAACTCTTAGATGTAAAAATAAAGTAAATGTTATCTAAGCTATAACAAACACAGCCTATTTTTAATAATCTTCATGGATAAGAATTATTTTTGAACAGAGTTCTTAAGAAAAGCAAATACATGCTTTATATCACATAAAAGTAATATAGCATAAGTAAGCATTAAGTTTTTATAATAAATAAGGAGAGTTTCAGTGACACAGGAAAAATCTGACAATGATGGTGTTGTCGCCAAAGCTCCTGTTTCTTACAATTTCACCATACTTTATTTTTGATGCAATTAAAAGTATTTTTTCTGTTATTGAATTAAAAACTTTTGCTGGTAATATCACAAAATATTATAAAATATTTATCAAATACGTCATACTAGATTATTTAAAATAAAATGATATTTTCACCTCAGAAAAACTTTTTCGAAAAAGTAAATTACAAAAATGTGAATAAAATTGCATAATGTGATACCTAAAAAAGTTTTTCATTTTTCTACTTTTATATATGTGTTAGAAATTACGCAAAATTAGCAGTTAGTAATTAGCAATTACGTAAAAATGATAAAAAGACCGAAATCAGCTAATATTTTTTTTATTTCACATTACTTTTGTACTTTTTAAAATAACCTACAGAATTAAATAATTAGAAAGGATTTTAAAATAATTTATGTTTTAAAATTCTAGAATAATTTGTAATTTATTCCAATGTTTATTTTAAGCATTATCTCAACATTATTGTTACAATAATTTTTATTTTAAAACAACAAAATATGCAGTAATACTTTTAACGTAGCTATTTTTTTTTTTAACTTTTTACGTATAAAATTGTTTACCTTTAAGTATTAGTTTTGTTGATCTTAACACTTTTTTTTTTTTGTGTTTCCAAGACTTTTAAAAATCAAATTTCTGTAAAGTTTTAACTTTTTATTGAACTTTATAACATTATATTCTAATAAATACATCCATAGCATTTTAACTATTAGAAAATAAAGCTTATGAACCAGTAGCGTTGATTTTAATTTTGGAAATAATATCAGTTAATGATACGGTGAACACGTTGAATTTCTGAACAAGAAGATCGGGATTTCAAGAACACGAAACCTGATACTGGAAGCCAAACCAAAATCTCTTATGTCTATTCTTTTGTTATCGTTGAATATCTATAGGCATCGTGTTCCACTGATCGAGAGGCGTCGTGTTCCCATGACTAGTCCACTGACTGTTGATGAGGAGAACACATTGCCTTCTGTAAGAACTTTATGAGTATCTGTTCAGCATTTTAGTGACAAATGGAAGAAAGTCCAAATTATTTCCAACATTCAACCAAACAATCCATGCGAGATACATTGCACAAGTTGTCACAATCACCATCGTGTCTGCAAAGCTGTAATTCAATAAACTCACCAGCAGATTCGAACCTGAATTAGCTTACACTCTAGCTACGTAAGTAGTATTAGATGTAGTTCTTCTAAATATCAAACATGGTATGTCTACAACAAATAGTGGTTACAAAAAAATGTTTATTTAATTCCTTCTATTAGCTCACACTCTCCCTATGTATATCTTGTTCAAACTTTCAATCGTTAATAAAATACTTTTTATTCATCCACTCAACTTTCTTTCGTTTTTGAACTTGTAGTGGATGACACTGGATGTTAATACAATTTTTTCAAATATTAATTCAGTAGTTAAATTTGATTAATTAATTTTAGTTTTTTTTTAGATTTAAGTTGCATATATCTACCAATAGATGGCGCCAGATAAACTTAAAAAATGAATGAAAATTGTTTATAAAGGACTTTTCTGCAATATAGTGAAAAAAAGTAGGAATGGACTTTACAATTTCTTTTATATATTACTTGCTTTGATTGAAACAAGACGATTTCCTTTATATGATTCACACTCACTCAAATGTGCATAATATTAATTATCAATCAATAATTTTCTGATAATTTTCAAATGTATGGGTAAAAGCTTAATATTATATATATATATAGACCAAACAAATCGATAAAACATTTTCATTATGAAATCTATAACTTTAAATAGTTATAACAAATAATAGTGGTTCTCGTTAGATCACCGAAGTCAAGCATCATTGGGCGCGGTCAGTACTTGGGTGGGTGACCACCTGGGAACACTGCGTGTCGTTGGCCTACACAAATTTGGGACCTGAATGGCCGAGTGTCTAGCGCTCTGGCGCTGGGTACCACAGGTTTCGGGTTCGAATCCCGGCGGTGCCATGGATGTTTGTAGTGGTTCGGAATCCACTTTAAGCCGTAGGTCCCGGTCTCCTATGACTGCAAGTGCGTCACGGAGCCAAAGTCAGACTTCTACCTACGGGTGCTCCATCACAACAGAAGCTGCTTCCTTTCCCCTTCAATCATGAGCACGTATGGGCTCGTGGGCTTGGCCAGCCAAGTGGGATAAAAACAGCAAGAACAAACAACAACACAAATAATAGTAACAGAAAATTTTCATTTTGGTTGCAACAACGGTGATTTTTTTTTTTGCATATTGATTTACAATGACTCAGATTGCACGATATTTATTAACAATCAACAATTTTCTGAACATATTTAAAGGTAAGCAAAAGTTTAAAATATGAAATACATGTATACATATACATATACATATATATATAATATATATATATATATAAATATATAATATATATAAATATATATATTATTTATATATATATATATTTAGACCCATCAAACCAATAAAAATTTTCATAATGAAACTGATAACTTTAAAATGTTATAACAAATAATGGTCACAGAAAATGTTCATTTTGGTTGAAGCAACGGTGATTTTCTTTATACGTTGATTCATACTTATTCAAATGCTGAAATACACGATATTAATTATCAAACAATAATTTCCAGAACATTTTTAAATGTAAAGAAACGCTTAAAATATTATATATATATTTAGACCAAACAAACATATAAATTTTTTCTATTTGAAATCTATAACTTTGAAATGTTATAACAAATACACACGATATTAATTATCAATCAATAACTTCCAGAAAATTTTTAAATATAAGGAAAATCTTAAAATATTAAATAGAAATGTATATTTCTAGGCCAAACAAACATATAAAACTTTTTCAATAAGAAATCTATAACTTTAAAATGATATCAAATGAAGATGTGATGTAGCAATTCATGTTGACATTCCACGCATGGAAGATTTTATTTTTATTTCGAAAGATCTACGAGATTGAATTTTATTTCTTTATTTTTTTTTTTTATTTTCCTGAAAAAGAAAAAAAAACAAACAAAGCAGTTCATTTTGATGTATTTTTTAAAAATATGTTTTCGTATAAAAACCAACGTCACATAACATTGTGGTAAAGTAATAAAATACTGTATCTCGACTTTTCTGCAAAAAAAAAGAAAAAGAAAATTTTCGACTTGCATTCCATCTTTTTTGTTAAAGAAAAATGGTTGTATAATGTGACGACTGATTTTTTTTTTTTTTCATGTTTGTCAACAAAAATGATTTAATAGAATATTTATTCTTTTCATATGTTTCATTTGATACCGAGGAATATTTACATTGTTACAAATTTTAAATTTAGCTATCTTATTTGCTGATGAAAGATACAGTTCGTATCAGGTGACATAACCATGAAGAGCTATTTTAAAAATAAATATAAATGTGTGCTTTAATATACTTGAATTTCTGGCCCATTTTAAATAAGTAATTTGTTATTAGAAAATAGTTTGCGAATAAGATACATACTGCAACGTTTCGACTTATATTAGAAATACAACGGCTTCAAGAAGAGATCCACTTTCAGGTTCATGGGATAATTTTTATTTTTATTTATAAGCACTATATATATATATATATATATAAATAATGTACTCTGGGTTATTTTACAAAGAAAGTGAAAAAAAAATACATATGTTTAATTTAATCACAAGCGCACTGTTAAATCACAAGTACAGTTCATTCCAAGGTCGGTGATTTTCAGAGTTCTCGAATATACGTCGAAATTATATATCTGGTCTGCGGCAGACCTTAATTACCACACGGCGTTATACACAAAATCACAAGGGGTTTACTTTTTGTAATGGATGGAATCTCCGGTCTATTCAGTCCCTTCAGAGAAAAATAACACTTCAGATCAACTCGCCGCAGAACTCTCTCTCCCTTCTTTACCAAAAATTTCCTTGTAAGACAATCCGTCAAGACGGAAGAGGTCAGCTTCCCTCATTTCTCTTTTGAGTAGACATTTCTCAGCTCATGGTCTGTCATCAATCATGACAGAACAACTCATGCGTTATGAATATTCATATTCAATCTGTAATTGTTTCGACCTGTGAGGGTCGCACGGACATTCACTAATTTCCTGAGTCCCATTATACATGATACTAAATATCTGCTATCAGATTTGAGTGAGAAATTTTTTATCATTAGTACAAAACACTAAATACATGTAATATAACTACCCACAATAAATTATTGTCTGCTGTTAAATTTGAGTGATGAGGTTAGTATATATTTGTCAAACAACATACAATCCTCTCTCATGGGAATGAAATGGCAAAATTCTTTCTGTGAGAAAAAAGGGCTACAATATCTGTTAGATTAATATAAGTAATTTATCTTATACAGCTTGGAAAGAAAAAGTGATTAACATTTTGAAATAACATAAACAAACGTTTTTCTGAAGAAATAAACTACACTTAAGAAAACACCTACAGACATTTTTGAAATCCTATTCGATGAATTTGTTTTTAAGTAACATTTATTTTAATTTATAGTTATTGAAATATTTTTGAATAAATTTATGTAGGGCTTGAGTAGAGCAAATTGCAAATCAATTTGCACTTAACTTAAAATTTATCTCTATACATATTATAATTCATCTATATACATATCTATACTATATAATTCATAATAATACATAAACTGCATATTTAAAATTAAAGAAAGTAATAGATAATTTATTATTTGAGTTAATAGTAGTTGAAATCAATATTTTCATTTAAAACTTTTTAATAATTTTTCTTTAGATTATTAAAATTAATGTTTTTGTAATTATAATGTCAGAATCAGATTTCTGTTTGATTAATATAATTCTTTAAAACCATTAAAATAATTTTTATATCACGGTTTTTTTTAAAAATTATATGTTGCTGTAACACAAACAACTTTTAGCATAGGATTTTAATTCATATTTTTAGAAAATTATTTTAGTTTGTTGACTTATTTTCTGTTCAATTTTCACACAAAATCATTACTTCCAATTTTTGTAAAGAATCTTCTGACGTTTACTTTTAAAAATTACATTCTATAAATCGTTTGTATAATGGAAAATGGTAATTAAAACATTAAATTTGAGTTAAAAATAAAATTGTGAAACAAGGAATAATCAATTATGGAAATATCCTAATAATATATTTATGTCAGAAAACATCTACTAAAATGTTTGAAATTAAAATTCCATGGCATAAACGCCTGCATTCTTTTTAAATACAACAAACTCTTAATACCTCTCCACAATATTATTATAACTTCTATCTTTCCTTCACATATAAGAAATTAATTTTTCAAATGTTGCCTTTATTTTATTTTTCTTCTCCGATACTACACTCATGTCCATAAATTAAGGATACTGAAGTTCAGGCAAAAGAAAGAAACAGAAGCAAATCAAATCTGACTTATTTGTAAGGTCTATTTATTAAACAAAGGTAAAGAGCAAAAAGATGCTATCTGTTTGGAAATAATTAATAAAAATTGCGATTTTTACTCCTGGAGCAAATCAAAAAAAGAACCTATTTACAAAAAATAGTATAACATGGTTAGTATGATAATTAATATGGAGTATGTCTCTCGGACGATGCAATACAGGCCTTACAACGCCTAGGCATGCTGAGTATCTAATAATTATCAATCTGATCTTGGGAATATTACACCACTCATTAAAATGCCCTCCGGTTCCAGGTTGAGGGGTTGACGGGCTTTGTACAATTAACGGTCAAGCATATCCCACACATGCTCTATTCAAAATTCAAGTCCGGTGAGTATGCTGGCCAATCCATACGGATGATATCCTCAAATTGAAAGCATTCGTCTACAATGTTTTGCACGGTGAGGACGGGCGTTGTCATCCATAAACAGAAATTCAGCAATGGCGCCCCAAAACAAACGTACAAATTTCCAAATGACATCCCGATAAATGGGCCTGTCATCGTTACACTCTGAACATGCAGGTTGTTCTGGAACCAAAATAATTTCCCCAAACGAATCCTGCACCACCGTAACGGTGTTGTTCAATGGTGTTCTCTTGGTGGCAACGGGTACCCGGCGCTCTCCATTTGAAAGTCCGGTGAGAATCAGACTTGTCAAAACTAAACCAAAAACTCGTGGTTTCCTGTAATTTGCATATTCTTCTTCAAGATGGGTGTGATAATTCTACAGGAGAAATTTTATTTTAGAGTTCAATTTCTGTGTGATTCTGAATTATTTAATTTATGGACATGAGTGTACTGACTATTTATATTCAATTTATTTTTACCAACCAAAATAAAACTCAGCAGCCAAATGCTAAATAAGTGGTCTGCCCCAGCCTGTACTCCTGGCAGGTATTGATAAATCAACTATAGAAAATCTTTTTATATTCGCTTTTTTATAATTTTTTCACTAAAGACATATTATATCAGAACTAACTTTAAAATTTATATGATGTTGTATTAAATAGCAAACATTAAGTAAAAGCTACTTTAATTCTAATAATTATTTAATAATACAATATATTATTATAACTCTTAAAATCCATAATGATACATAAATAAAACTTTGTAAAATTAACAATAATAATAAAAAAAATTTTACTACTTCAATGCTCATCAAAATTTTTCTAGTAATGCTATTATATCATTCGCACATAAGGGACCAACTTTTCAAACCACAACTTTATTTTATTTTCTCAACCAACACTATAAGCATTAAACAAAAACTAAATAATAAACAAACAAAATTTTAACAAATAAAATAAATGTTGTTAAAAATTAATATTTTTTTCTTGTTAAAAATAAATATTATTTAATCATATATATATATATTAATTAAATTAATATTTATTTAATAATAAAATTTTTAAGAAGTAAAATAAATATTTTACTTATAA